TTGTAATCAATTTGATATGACGTGTACTTGCTCCGTGCATCATCCGTTATCACTTTTATGAAAATCCAATAATAGCTGTCTCTTTTACAGGCAAAATAACGCGAAAAGTGATTCGTGCAAACTTGCCTATTTCTCTGCAACTGCACATATTACAGACTAATTTTGACATACATTGTCTTCCTATGGATTAATGCTACAAAATTATGAAAGTTGCGAAGAAATATTTTAAAATATGAAGACGATGAATGGGTTGTAATTAGCTGATTTGTACACCTTTTTTCATTGGATTTAAATATAATGTTAAACGAATACTAAATATAACTCACATAAAAAAAATTGTTTTGAAGGCTTAAAATACAGTTTTTGCCAAGATTACATTACTTCCGGTGATGATGAAAATGTTAAATTAGTTTTATGAAAATCGAATACTTATTGACACATTTATAGACCAAAAACCTTGAAAAGTGACTTGTAGAAAATCTACAACCGTACAAGTTAGAAACCATTTTGTGGTATCGGTATGATCGTATGGGTTCATTCGATTTGTTGATTGTAATCAAGTATCATAATTTTTAACAAATAACAGTACGACTCATTTGAATAAAATATTTGTTTTGTAGGCTAATTTTTTTTTGCAAATGACGTCATTACGGGTGACAGTGAAAGTTTTAAAATGGTTTGACCTCGTTGACAGTGACATTCGACATCAAATGGTGAAAGAAAATTTAAAATCGAATAATAATTGATTCTTTTACAGGCAAAATAACATGAAAAGTGACTGATGTAAAATTGCCTATTTCTCGGCAACTGCTTATATTACCAACAATTTTTAATGACTCATGCAAAATTGCCTATTTCTCGGCAACTGCTCATATTACAAACAAAGTTTGATATATATTCTCTTCGTATGGGCTATTGCTACGAGTTTATGAAAGTTACGTAGAAATGTTTTAAAATATGAAGACGCTGGATGGGTTGTAAACAGTCCCGTTGCTAGCCCAAAGCCTTTTATAAACGAGACGGATCAGAAAATGAAATGAAAATGGCGGGAAAGATCTCAAAAATAGAGGGAAAATATTGAAAAATGAAATGATATAATTTTAAATGGAACTTATATTTTGGGAATCAGATTGACCTCAGCTGTTGGAATATTTAGGTCAAATTTGTAAAATTTGAAAATTAAGGAAATAAATTGTCTTGTAAACAACTTTGTCGGCACCAAAACGGTCAGAGGCAAAATTCGAAATTTTCAAACATCAAAAATTTGACCCTGAGCCCGGCTATCCAGAAATGTATTCATTTCGGAAATAGGAGAGGTATTCTTAAAACTACGGCCTATTGTGTTCATTTTCACGTCCGTTAATGTGGATTTTTCACTTTTTTTCATATTCATTTCAAAATGGTGACCATCAGTTGACCAAAATAAAAATTCTGCTCCGATAGATTTTTAGGCATTCCTTCAAGGATTCAGAAAATGTAACTTCAATGTCTGTAAGTAAATATCGCAAAAGCCTTAGTGAATTTTGTATCACCATAAGTCTTCTGTCTGACGTGGAGAGCGTCTATGGGAAACCGGTCGCCACATCCTACGTACGACACATGCATCTTTTCTTACTACATATTTCTGTAGCCTTGTGATCGTCTAGAATTTGTCTCTAGCTGTCTTTACTTCTGCTTCACGTTGTGTATTTACTTCTTCCAGTTTCTTAAGACGTTTGTCTTACCAGGAATAATAATGCATAGTTCGCTTCTACATTTTATATAGCATATAACTGAATACAGGTATACAAGCATAGCACAAATTACAATACTATATAGCTAAAACCACTTCTCCACCCTATCCAGCCTCTCGGCTGTCTAGGAACCCAGATGTACCCTCGATCTCTGGAATCTAATGCAAGTCTGACTTACGGGGTTCCCCGGTTTCTTTTAAAGGTAAATGAATATCATGCACAATAAAGCGTGATCATGGCCCTGAACTTGTGTAATTAACAAAATGATTGGTTACTTTAAATCAAATGATGCAATTAGAATAATTCCACTCACGTGTAATTCTGGTGGTAAATAATTGACATATGTTTTCGATAAAGAGCTCGTTTTTATATGTCAACTGTCAATTACAGACTAAGTTGATTTAGTGCACACTATATATGTAAATATGTTTGAAATTACTAACATTCCAAAGATATTAATTAATGAAATATAAAGGCATCTTATTTCAAGAGCAAAAATTCTAGCAATATTATTACAATTTTCACGTTTCAAAATGGTGGCACTTCCAGTTCCATCGACAAACTCCATATTTTGTGTACGCATCAGTAATTTTTTAGCTAGTACAGAAGAAAGAAATTCAAGGCATTCTGACCTACTTTTTTTTCGATTTCTCAAAAATTTGTCCCTTAATTTCTCCAAGGGGAGATACGTTAGGAAATTCCTAATGACATCTTTCAAGTCGCATCGGTAAGATCTACTTACATTCCAAATTTCATGAAAATCGTGCAGATATTAAAGAAGTTGTCAAATTGGTCTCAACTTCCCGGACGAAATCACAGCGACGAAATTTCGAAATACGAAATTCTGAAACTGCAGGTGAAAATGAATTTCGTCAAGGTTAGATTCTGACATATAAGATTTATGGGAAAAAAATAATAATCTTAACAGAAACAATAAGCTTTCATATGTAATATGAAAGCTTATAAGAATCCGAACAAAAAACAATATTGTTTCACACTGCGTAGAAACCCTAATAAATGTGAAATTACGATGAAAGTATGTTAACAAATAATCGTCGTGAAAGAAATTGATAGTCGGTCGATATTTTCACATTAAGTGAATATAATCAATGCATTTTTATGGACCAAGAGGGGCGATGTGAAAAGCTCGCACAAAGAGTGTACTTCCGGGACCCTACTATTTACCATAATGACTGCTGATATTATAACGCCTTACTAAATACAAATGGTGTTGTAATGAATATTAGAGTTTGAAACAGAGGCGAAAATCATGCCGGGGCTGATTTATTTAAACCCATCGACTCAAAACTTGCAGTCAACGAGTAATGGTGTGTTCAATTTACGTAGGGTTAGTGTCTATTTTATAATATTATATTATAGGCTAGCCCTTACCTTCCCATTCACATTTCCCGAATAAAAGCATTGTTTAATTTTTTAAAAACGTAACTAGTAAACAACACCGGTTGACCAGGTCTATGGTGGCCTTTTGGCATCAGTTTATCGGAATGGTGGTATATATTGAAATAAGTTACAAAAACAGTGAATTGGTAGAACCGCCTTCTATATACAAGAAAATGGATCATAAGCAAGTTATTCATAATGACGTACTGGCACAGTAGTAAAGCGCCATCTGCTGAAGAGTATGGGGTGTAACTGGTTATAATGTCACAGCCGGCTTCTTGACTGCTAATTAAATGATTTATGTTTTTGAAACTATTTTGAGTTGATTTATATTTTTGAAATTAAATCGTAGATAAAATGGTAACGGCTGTTCGATTATGAACAAGCATTAGATTAAAATTAAAGAACATTGTACCGGTATATGCTGTATTTCTAATTCTGGCATTATTGAAATTTTAACAAGTATTCTGATTGGTGAAATACGCATTATCAAAAGGAATCAAAATCCATTTATTCTCCATTCGACGGAGAATTTTCGACCAATCAGAATTCTTGATACGCTTCAATCATGGTGCAGTCATAAATTAAAATCTATTGCCTTTTGTCAATTTAGTGATGTTCACCTCTTCTGAGATATCAAATTAGAACCCCCAAAGCCTTACTGCTCAGGGTTCTATTGATTCAAGAATATGTACTGTACTAATTTGATATTTGTGAATTTTCATGCACCGTTAAACGATTTCTGCTGACATATATTTAAGATGTACTTAGGAACAAAACATCTCCAGTATCCGTGTTTCGATTCAGTGAGCACAACTGAAGAGTATGGGGTGTAACTGGTTATAATGTCACAGCCGGCTTCTTGACTGCTAATTAAATGATTTATGTTTTTGAAACTATTTTGAGTTGATTTATATTTTTGAAATTAAATCATAGATAAAATGGTAACGGCTGTTCGATTATGAACAAGCATTAGATTAAAATTAAAGAACATTGTACCGGTATATGCTGTATTTCTAATTCTGGCATTATTGAAATTTTAACAAGTATTCTGATTGGTGAAATACGCATTATCAAAAGGAATCAAAATCCATTTATTCTCCATTCGACGGAGAATTTTCGACCAATCAGAATTCTTGATACGCTTCAATCATGGTGCAGTCATAAATTAAAATCTATTGCCTTTTGTCAATTTAGTGATGTTCACCTCTTCTGAGATATCAAATTAGAACCCCCAAAGCCTTACTGCTCAGGGTTCTATTGATTCAAGAATATGTACTGTACTAATTTGATATTTGTGAATTTTCATGCACCGTTAAACGATTTCTGCTGACATATATTTAAGATGTACTTAGGAACAAAACATCTCCAGTATCCGTGTTTCGATTCAGTGAGCACAACTCGTCAATTGACTGACAGCACTGTCGTTGTTTCATTAACATCCATACGTCATTCTCTATAGATACGATGTATCAATATAGTCGATAAGTTAACATGGGAATACAGAATAATTCATGCAGTAGATGCTGAACGTCTGATCTTCATCTTTAGCAATAACTATTCTTAAAGTTGATGATCTCTGGAGTCTTAGAAAAATTTCTAGAGCGAAACAATAATTTGTGAGAATACTAGAAAATGAACTATACTTGCTTGTTATGTGATTGTGGCAGTATTTGAGATTGTGTAATATCACTGTTCGTTCGATATTAGAAGAGCATGACGAGAATTTAGATTGATTTGTAATTACACAGAAGTATTGGATTTGTTGGACAGGTTCGTCTCAAGTATATATCATTTGAAAAACAAGTTACAGACGATTCTTATAGTATATTAAGCAGTTTAACTGTTGGTTAATGCCCATTTCAGATGATTTATGAGTCGCGATGTCGTGGAAAAGTGAAGTTTGGTTTGCCCTGGGTGAATGCTGTTTCTATTTGATATCAATTATTTGGGCTTTATTAGTGAGGTTAATACTTATACTTCACACATATGTGTCATTATGGAAAGTTGTAACTCAAACAAATGACGAACAATATTGGTACCTTCTGGGTCTAGTGTCAATACAACTTGGTGAACTAATCTACAGGGTTGCTGTCTGTAAGGGAAATGAAGGGATGTGGTAAGTGTTTTAAACATACTCATGTATATATCTAAAAACTATACATAAGCGCGGGGAAATAGCATCATTTTAATAGCTTATACCTATAGTACGAATCAGATCACAAAAGAATTTTTCATCACTTTTTTATAGAGAAAAGCTTGATGTTTTAATCAAATTGTCATAAGGGCAAACGGCCTTGAAAATTATTTTTTATTATGCCCTTCCTTTACTTTAAAAGAGCCGCTAGCGCGTTTGGGTGAGGGCATTTATAAATTTATTAATCAATTATTCTGAAAATGATTGATTTATATATTATTTGGTTTAAAATACTGTGTTTGCCCATTGAATACAGATAGACCGCCGTTGATGGTGCACTTTATACCGCGTTTATAAAGTTATCATCTTTGTTTATTCTCTAACTAGTAGCTAGAAATGACGATAATATCTAAATGACTGACCGTTCTATCAATAGTCTAATGATGTACTTGAGTCAAAATGTGCTTATACCACATACAATACTGCTTCTCATTTAATTTACAAGCCCAAATACTCAAACATATTTGTTAAAATCCCTGTATCTGCATAAAGGTGATTATGTTACCGCATGTAATATTATCAGTTAACAGGTATGAAAGCAAATCATGGGTTTCACGGAACGCGTGGTTATCTTTTATTTCAATATCTAACGTTTATGCTATGTTCTTTGGGAGTTAACCAAAACCAGAGAACCTGGTGAAATCTCACTAGGTTATGCCACCGCAATGCTTGTAATGCGTCGTTGCAAGGCGTGCCATTTCGGTGGTAGCCGTCTTACGCACTGTCTACTAAATGAGCTGCCAAAGATGGGCTGCATTGGTAAGCATTGAGCCACAATAACACTATTTACATCCCACTTCTATTCGTTGCCACTGGCAACTTTTGATAAAACTGTCCTGTTTTATTGCAATGGATGCTTTAGAGTATCCGTATTGTATAGAAAGAGTACTGTTCATTTCTGATACACGGATACTTTTATACCGTTAAAGATACCTATCAAGCAATAAGTAGCGGACGTTTCGTCCGACCCAGATCGCAAATGATAACAATGGCTCTAACCATTGTACATGAAACAACTAGTCAAAATCATAGTAACAAAACAAAATGGGGGGAACTACATGGCAGTTCAAAAACATATACAATGACATTAAATTAACATAACAACATATTACAAAAATCAATTATTATACATATCAATTGGCATCTATTTCATAATTTGGTTTGATTTATATTAATATGCAAAAAATATAAATTAGAATATTGAATAATTATTTTAATTAATTGTGATGATAGAAGGCACAGTTCTCTTGCTGGACACTTCACAGGCATTGATAATAAGCAGGATGAAGAAAACGCCTAGAAAGTCATAAACTTTATTACAAATAAATTTCAACGGAAGAACCATCCGCCGATGCATACTTTCACCAGGAATGACCCACGTTTCGCATTTCTTTTACACTACATTTAATAATATCGCAGTCCTCTACGCCATAGACAAGTTGTTTTGACGATGTGGTCTAAACAAACACGTGATTGTTTTACGCTCAGAGTATCATAGCAAGACGCACGTGTAAATACTACTCAATTCGTCTCTCCACTGCGAAATCATTCTACCATGAAATGTAACGTGAGGCTCAGAAAGGGATAAATAATGAAAGAGCAGAAAGTATTTGTCACTTTTCGGTTGAAACGACTCGATAATAAATACAATTTTTCACATTTTGCTTCACAATACTCGATAGAAATGTGATGTAAGTAACTTATTAGCACCTTTCCTCGGTGTATCGGTGAATATCAGGACAGTTTTGGTCGGGAGCCGCCTCGGCTGGGCCCCTCGACCAAAACTGTCCTGATATTCACCGATACACCTCGGAAAGTGTGCTAATAATATTAAATTAGGGTGACCCACCATAAATAAATATCTCCATATATCTCGACAATTTCGCCACAATATTTATATATATGCCAAGCCTCAAATCAGTTACGTGCCCTTGTTTTGAAAATAGTCTCGCTTAACCAGTCTATCGACCATTCTAGGGCTGATTGACAGGTCGGGATAATCAAGACTCCTTTTTTACGAAACATAACAGAAAGCTAGAACAAGAAATTGAATTTAGAAATGAGCACGTTAGCTAGCTCAACAATTGTTTTAAGAAGCTTGTAAAAGTAAAATGAAACTACTGCTAGTATCATGTTCCTGTCTAACCCGAGTGTTTCTGAGATATTATTTGTACTAAACCAAAAGATGCCGCTCTTAACGGTACAGTTAATGATAAAGCGATTTAAAAAATGAAACGAACGTAATTTCTAAATCTGCTGTAATAACCAAGAAGCTTAATTTCACTGCTATTCAAAATCGTCAACAATAATTTTTTTACGGCTGTTATAGTTGATAGATTTGTAGAGAATTGCACGTGCCATGACTATTTATAGTATCATACTGTCAGAAAGTTGGCCTCGACACGGCGAATGTGCACGCTTCAGTGGTAGTCTCGAACTATCAGCGGTGGACTGTGTTTCTGTAGGTGCGTGGGCCACCCTAACTACTACTTGTTTACGCATAGGTTAAACATACATTATGCAAGAGCAAAATCTGATTATTGCAAGTCTTAATTTAGGCGTCAGATGTTATAGAAATTATAAATTAGATCTTTATTTAAACAACAAGCCCAAAATCAACTCTGTAGACCCACGGATGGCTCGGCTACAGCTCGGATTTAAATAGGATTTCACTCATTGATAAATTGAAATATGGCGCACCCTGATGAGAATACGTCAGTTAGATCGAGGCTAAATGATAGAGTGTACTTAGCGAGGCCGCTGTAGAGCGTTTCCGCATGCCATTGAAAACTTTTCTTGATAATCGAGATATGTAGGTGGAGTTAACGCCTGTCAATCAAACTATCGACCAAGGTGATGGCACATTTCACTACCATTTCTAGGCAAATATTACAACGATGATAACTATGTTCAGAATAAAGTAATTTGACTGAAATTTTCAATATATTCTTTTTTCATCATCTACTTTTGAACTGTTATAGCAAGAATGACCAACTCTCTATAAAAATCTCCCATAATGTATCTTTAAGTATTGTTCGCGCATTGTTCATGTTTGTCGCGTGTAGTGGATTCCCATGGCACGTACTGACACGCATTGATACGCACCGTCGGCAGTGTTTGTTCACGCATGGTTTACGCACGTAGCATACACATGGCACAACACGACATGACACGCACGCCTGTATCCTTCCAACACCCCTCACGCTCGTTAATCATTGATACGCCGAAGTGCACCATTGCGGGAACGAAAATCGTTCAAGTAGCAGGGTGGCTTTAGATAATACTAGGTTCCCACTGTCGTGCGTTACGATAGGAATGTACCTATTGGGTCAACACGATTGCCACGACTGACTTCAATGTGTTATAAGACCTGGTGGGATCACCCCTAACACACCCAAAGGACGCATTTGTCACCGAGGGCGCTACACGGCGATTCAACCACGAATGAACCACGAATTGGCAACGAATTTGCCGAATGCGTTCTCGAATGGGCCGAAAGATTCACGAATTGTCTCGCATCGTTTACGATTAGTTTACAATTGGTTGAATCATCTACGAATCAACTAAGAATCGGCTACGATTTTCTCGGCTATATAAAGAAGCGGTGTCGATTGGTTTACAACATAAAAGTTTCCGGAGCCCAAGTGACAACATCTACCACGAATTACCACGAATATCTCCATGATGCCACCGCAATCCCTTTTGGGTCCGCCAAGGTAAAGGGACGCGGCAAAGACAATCGACCACGGGAACAAGGGGAATAGGACGGCGCCACAGGTCCTACACCTTTACGGGATGACATCCCCGCAGTAGAAGAGGGCTCAGAAGATATGCCCCCACCCCCTTAGGAGCGACCACTGAACGATGACTAGTCGCATCAGGGGCATCAGAACCACGACGAAAAGGCCCTTGTAGTTGTAAAACCAATGTCGAATTTGGGTGGTTTCTTGATGGCTGTCTGCTTGCCACCCAAGACACATTTCATTGGCCTTGGAACTGCTGGGCAATGGCCTCCCAGTCATCCTTGGTCTGGGCAGTGGATTGACCTCGTCCTTCATCTATTCAATGATGGCCTGGATGCCATATCTGAAGTCATAGTGGAGGGAGGGTCTCCTGTAGCAAGGTGTCTGTGTGTCACTGTCAGCTTCAGTCCATATTCTAGGGATGGTCTCATGTGTGTGTGTTTCTTCTGGATGATCCCAGATTCAATCCTCAATCTGCTTTAGCGGCCGAATTCGAGGCCTTCGATGGGGTATCAGCCATGGTCGAACCCACCAAAGCTTGCGTCTTCCCTGACTTATCCCCAGGTTCTCAGCTATCAGCAGTTGGTGTTGGTATTCTTATTTCATGGCCAGATGACGGGTTCGGCAGTGGTCGGCGGCTTTTTGTAAAGTTCAGGGACCCAAGAATACCCCAAATTGCCACTAATAGTGCCATATATAGTAAACTTTTCGTAGATTTATCGGCATCGTTCGTGGAGAGCGTAGTGTATTCGTAACTGAATTCGGCATGTAAGTGAATAATTTGGGATATACGTAACTGAATCGCTACAGTTTATAGAAGATTATATCATTTCATACCTTTATCGTAACCCTGTCTTGACATTTTGTTGCCGAATCACTACGAATTTCGATTTATTTCAATTCGGGACGATTGGTGGTATTCGTAGCCCATGCGAAAGCGGTACATCAGTCAACAAAACATATTAAGAGATTAAAACACCTTAGTATTGACATAAACAGATCTTTCTTGATATTTAGGACTACATCATATTCCCTTTCCTCAACCCCATACAACCGTATGATTCTAACTTTTGTAGCGGAAAATGGTCGTCAGTTTGTTCATTATTAATAAATGCATTGTCTTGGAATCGTGTAGGGTTACGAACTCATACCCACGGCGCTAGATGATTATACACACGT